TTAACATGCACCATTTGGCCCGTTTTCGCTCCTAAGTCACCACAGTAGCTATTTTACAGAGCAAAGAGTGCCACAAATACATGAAGAAAGCTTCAAAGTTTTGCCACATGATATGTTGAGTCGAAGAAACTTTGAAAACAACATTTTACCACGTACTTAAGTTATATGATGAGTTTCCACTCAAAACTGGTATTAACTTATTAATAGTTGTCATTTTCAGCAAATGCACCATAATTTTGAAATTTGGAAACAATTAAAGAGAGCAATATTTCCATTTTGCTACAAGGATGAAGTGCAAGACAGCCGGACAGGTAATGCCTCCCAGTATAAGATAAGCCGTTTAAACAACCCTAGAAAAAATGTCAGAATAAACCGCTTCCTTCAAGATGCCTAATAACTCTAGAACAATCAAATAAATGGGCAAATCTTGTGTTAAAACCCACAGACCCTCACAAGGAATAAATCCTAAAATTTAGTTTCGTAACTTACACCAACAAGTTAACAAAAAAACACATACAATACCATCAAAAGCAGAGCTAGGCAGTCCAGTGATATCTTGCAACATCCGCGCATGCCTTCCCTCATCTTCCTCATTATCATCCTCTTTCTGATTATCCTCATTTTCATCATCCTCGCCTTCATCTGATGCTACATTCTCATCCTATGATTTAAAAACAACTAATAATTCAGATTGGGTAGAGATAAGTAATCTGAAAATAAGGAAAATCTATTCTATTCATGATATATTTTCCTCAAATGTCATTGAATGGCTGTGTGAAAATTAAAAACCTTATTAGAAAAAAAAGACAATATTAACTTGAACATAAAAGAGTAAAACGCACGCATGCACTTGTGTCAAGTGAAAAAAGACGAGTAAGACCTCAAAATCTTCAGGAAGCTCATACTCATTGTTGTCAACGGGGTCGAACCGCTTATTCTTCTTTGATTCCTCTTCCGGGATGCCTTCTTCGTATTCATACACATCATTGCCAACTATATCGCCAAAATTAATATCTTCGTCACCATCTGAAAATCCCCTTTCAACTGCAGGGTTTAAGAGATTGAGCTCTTTCTGCAATGCATTTGGCAAGCGAGGCCCACGTCGAGGCCTATTTTGCTCCTTTCCCTTCGTCCTTGAGCTTGAATTATTTCTCTTCCTGTTCTTAAATTCTCTCCCTTTTTCCCTACTGTGATTGTTTTCATCTGTGACTTTCCTCTTCAAACCCGTCATCCTTATAGATCCACAGGAAGTATGAGATAACAACTTTCAAACAATATGAAATTATATCATTCACAACAATCAGATCAACATATAAATGTTATGGTTGATTTCCAATTTCGCACCAAAACTTAATCAAACACCAGATAAACCAGAATAATAGAACTAAATTCAACACTCAGTACTTAAATGTAAACTATATTTCATTCATCTGCTATTTTCTATTACAATGCAAGAGATTAC